ACTGGAGGGGGCCATAACCAGTGGGGGAGGAGGAGGAGGAGGAGGAGGAGGAGGCGGGGCCGGAGGCGGAGGCGACGGCGGTGCAGTGCTGGAGGCGACGATCTGGATCGGGCGACGATCGGACGGCTGCGACGGCCGGCGGCGAGGCGACGAGCTGCGATGGCGAGCTCGCAACCTCCTCCCTCCTCCTTCCTCCCTCTCCTCCCTCTCCCCTCCCCTCTGGTTATGGCAGCTCGTCGGAAAAAATGGAGAAGAAGGAAAGAACGAAGAAAAAAAAAAAAAAAAAAAAAAAAAAAAAAAAAACCCCCAAAACGACGTCGTTTTGGGGGGCTGCCGGGTAGGGCGGCCGAGGATCCGGATTCCTAAAAAATGTATCACTAATAGCACTAATATATTAGGAACGGCACTGCTACGTAGCTCGAAATCAAATGGCTCGAATGGCTCGAAATCCCAAAACGACGTCGTTTTAGGGCATTTTTTTATTCTCTTACCGGTAAAATAATATTTTCGAGCCATTCGAGCTCTACACATTCGAGCTCTCACGCATTTTCCTATTAGGAATGACAAAAACAATAATAAAAAAATAAAAACAAGGCATAGAAAGTGAACAAGACCTACTGTCACATCATTAGTGCTCTCTCTAGTGATCCTTTTTTAGTGCTCCCAAACATTTTTCTTTACCACATATATACACTTTTCTTACTGAACTGCTAGTCAAATCATTGAAATGTTTAAATAACTGTAGTTTCTTTAGAAGATGAACAAGAATTGAAGCATTCATGAACAAAGAATTATAAGCAATAGATTTAAATATGATGATCAAATGGAGAGAGAGACTTGGAGGTCGAATTCTGATCTCTTTTGCTTCAAAACATAAAAGAGTGTAAAACATCATTCATGTTGACATCTGTATCCATCAGAATCCGGTGAGGCTGCAGCGTAGCGGCAACCAGCACCGCGGGGTGGCTGAAATCTCCGACGAGTGAAGTTATTAGAACCACCAGATAAATCTTCCACACCTTGATTGAACAATTTGATTCAATTTTGAAGTATGTAAGTATAATTTCGTCAATCAGATAAATTAGTGGAGTGATCAATAAGGTCCCGTTTGGCAACCTTTAATTTTAGCTAAAATGTCACTATAAGTTCACATCACTTTCTTTATTTTTTTTACATCTTTTCGTAAAAAATCAAAAAGTTAGAAAAATAACATATTCTCAAATGAAAAAAACAAAAAGAAAAGAGATTGGTTGTGTCTCCAGTGTTGTTTGTCCGGGCCATGGCTCTGTTTATGATCTAAATAGATCATTTATCCCTGTATTTATATCATCTATTAAAAAAATTATGTAAAATAATCATAATTTTTTCATTTTATCTAATGCAATAAAATAAAGAGGTTATAGTTATCAGATTGACCTAAACTTTTTCAAAGATAATATACATGCAGTGCCCTGCGAAATGAATGACTCGGATCATTAAAATGGACTCATACCCAAACAGCACCTCCAATTTGGGTTGGAAACAAGCCTAATCCAAAAATATAGAGAACTTCTGATTGGTTTGATTTTTAGAAAAAAAAAAAATTTTAAAAATAGAAATTAGTTTGATAAAAATAAATATTAAAAAAATATTTTTTAATTTTAAAAAGTAATTCTACCCCTCGTAAGATAAAACTTTTTAAAAAATATTGAGTTTTTAATTTCATATTTTCACTAAATTAACTTCTTCAGAAAAAAAAAATTAAAAATTAAAAATTAAAAATTCTGAAAATCAAACTAAACAAAACCTGGACTTTAGGTGAATTTTATGATCTGTACTGGAGCACTTCTCAGCCCAATTTTTCAACTTAAAAAAAAAAATTCAAAGCCAAGCCCAGGTACAAACCCAACCACCACCTTATTGTTTAGCTATTCAAGAGTTGCTAATCCTTGTCATTATCCATGATTAAACTACACTCACTTGATGACAAGGACTTCCAAATCATGTCTCCAAAATTATTCAAAGAAAAAAATCAAAGACAAAAAGAATAACCTGACTTCAAAAATCATCAAGAAAAAATATTATGGGTTGTTATTAACTTGGATTAGTTTAGTATTTTATCTACTTATTTTTCCTATAATTTATTTTATTTTTTGTCATTAAATGATCAAGGGAAAAAAATGTATATGTATAAAATTCATCATATTTCTACTAATATCGTAATTTGGAAAAGAGTCTTGTTTATGACAAAACTTGAATCATTGACCTCGTAGTAATATATAGATTTTGACACATAAATAAGCTCAAAAGAGATATAAAAAAAAAAAAGTACTCTCATGATGAATAAATAATTATATTGAGTATAACGATGACATTATCTTACGTGATATCACCGATCAATAAAATACTGTAAATGAAATTTGGTGGACGATTCTTACCTTCTAATAATCTAATCACATAATCCTTATATTCAATATTTACTCCAAATTTAGCCAATGAATTGATGAAAGTCCAAAAGTGGGACCAAGACAGTGAATTGAGCAAAACAGGCTGGCAAGTCTTTGTCCAGAGCTTTGCTGTTCCTTTGCCAAATTCAAGTAGGAGTTATTTGGGATAACCTAAATAAATGTATTTTTTATCTTTTTATGAAAATATGTGTAGAAAAGTAGAGAGGTAATTTGATAGAAAAAAAATAAAGAAATGAATTATTTTGTGTATGCCAAACTTGACCTTAATATTCTGACTCTCATTTTGAATGTGTGTACATGTATATATCCCACCAGCTTACCATTCATTGGACATGTTATTTCATTCTCTTGGACATTGACTCAAATATTTCTACAAGTAACAATTATTCAATGTGACAAGGGTAGTGACGTGTCTATATCACAGAGAAATTTAAATTGTCCATTTATAAGAAACTCACATAAATAGAGAGTTGATATTTATTTATAGTATAATCACATATCGTATGAAATAATTTGTCTTTTAACAAACACTTAATTATTTGGGATTCACTTCTTAATATAGAGAATTCACATAGATGTGTGTCACTAGAGAGCGTAGAGGTGATGTCCCACAAGCACGGCTTGAGATTATATATCCAATTTTTCGTACTAATTGTATATTATGTATTCTTCTAATTATTGATTTTGATGACATGACAATGTGGTGAAAGGAGATGAGTCCCAGGAGATGGGATAGAACCAAACAAATTACGGCTTTGTTTGTACAATTTATGAAATTTCTAAAAAAATTTAATTTATTTATTTTGTGAATGTGTGTCATGTTTGATATAATTTTTATTTACAGCTTATGAAATAAAAATGAATTAAATAAATTGGAGAAAAAAATTGATTATTATAAAGTTGAAGAAAAGATACTTTTAACTTCTACTTTTTAGTTACACACTTTCATCTTGCAAGAAGTTGTATCATGTTCTAATCGAGTGGGGTTAATTACAATTTTTTTTTTTTTATTTATATTCTGCTCTATCAAAGATTATATCATTTGTCCTATTTTTTGTCTCATTTTTTAATTGATCATATAAACTATGTAAAAAAAAAATTATATGATCAATTAAAAATGAGACCAAAAATGAGCAAATGAAAAGTGCTACAAAAGCTCCAAATAAATGGTTTTCAATCATTGGATGTGGCTCACTAGTGGTCCCTTCAATACAGCACATCCAAGGCTCAATCACTGCAACTATATGGGTTTGGTATTGTTCCAAAACAAGCCAATTTTTGTATTTGCTTCCATCCCAAGTTCCAAACTACTCATTCCAGAACTAGCATTCAACCACTGACAAGAATGAATAAAACTAATGTTGAAAAAATATGGCAAAATATCTATGATTTGAATTCTCTCTTCCAATCACTTGCTCCACACTTCTGCTATGGCATTGTCTCACATTATAGCTATAAAAAAAACAAAAAAAAACAACTCCCATAGATCCCCCTCTTTTTTCTCTTTTTTCTTTATTTGAGAAGACACAACACAACATATATTTTATATGTTTTTCACTTGAAAGGTAAGTAGACGAAAGTAGACTTGAAATCCAAACCTGCTTTCTGGTTAAATGGATTAACCACTTGGCAATATAACTTTCCCAAAATGTATGAAATATTTGTGTACTGAATGCCAGGCCACTCGTTGAAGATAAAAGTATATCAAGCCCATATAAATTTTCACCATGAGCAGATTGTATTGTATCCATTGAGCAAAAATATGGGATGTGTGTTAATGTGTAGCTAGACATTCACTTAACAAACATATTTAGCAATTCGAGTTTTCATAAATTCTCAGTAAAACCTTCCTATTATGCATGAGATGGACTATGACGTCTTATGAACATCATTTTACCTAGAAAATAGATTAACTATATTAAAAAAGAATAGTACTATAGATTCACAATATGAATTCCTTATCATGTGGGAAGACAGATAGGCCAACAAAATAGTGACAAATTAAAAGTTGACATGTGTCATGCCACATCATTGTAGATCACATTGTGAGAGATTTAGTGTGGGTCTTAATCATTTTTCATTAAAAAATATGAATCGGACACTGGCATACCCATGCTTGAATCCATGTAACATTACTATTGTGCATATCAACCATTCACAATCTTGGCACATTTCATTCACAGTAAGGAAATGTAAAAACAAGTTTCTGATCCTTTCAACATTAATATGATTTCAAAATCCCTTCATACTTGCCACCCATCAAATCTTCTTGTTCTTCATTCATAATGGGAAAGTGTAAGAAAACGTTTTGAAGACTGAAAGAATGAGAAAGTGTAAGAAAATTTCCCAATATCCTTCTATCAATCGAGGACTGATAGATAGCTAGAAAGAATTGAATTCAAGAGATTTCAGTAACAATTACTTAACAATTCCAACAAAGCTACCAAAGTTCAACACTATCAACCAGTTCAGAAAGAAATACTAACAAATTACAGAGTGAAAGGAGTAAACAAAAACAAAATCTGATTCAATCAAGGAAGAAAACAAAAAACAGGAACCGAAACAATAGATAAACAAACAACTTTATATATAAGTCTAGTACTTATGTATAAACATCATACAAATTTATATATTACAATGGATGTTTTCCATTCTTGTCATACAATTAGCTATATAGCGTTAGCTAGCACCGACCTAAAGTTTGATCGGCCACCAAACACACACTTTCCTCTGTCATCAGCAGTCAGAAAGTTTTTTTTTTTCTTTTTGAATTGGTGGATGAGCTGAACGGAGTTAGATGGCTTCGCCAGCCTAAAACTACTTACATCAAACCATATCAATTGAGGTCCAAACCCCAAGTGACAATAGAAACATAACTAACTTTTTCAGTCCAACTAGATGCTGAACCACTTGCCTTCTTGACCAACAACCAAGCCAAGCCATCTTTCGCCGAAGATGAACCAGACCCAAGAAGCACAAAAGCAATAACAACACAACCAACTAAAGAGTAAGCGGTACTAGTAGACAGTAGTACTAAACAATCTTACAAACTGCAAACAAGCCCTTCCAAAGAAGATATAAACCCCCGTGGCGAAATGTCAAGCTTTTCAAGTATTGCTGCCCTGTCAGTAAATCGGGTTTGGTCTATGAACAATTAAGAATTAACAAAATCACTTATCTCATCCATGACGGTGTAGAAGTGATCATTGTTGGGTAACAAATAGAATCCAATCGTTGCTCGCTCCAAGTAGAGAAGCTTCACCTCTTGGTTATACCTCTTTAGCCCTTCAACATAAGCCAATTGCCAGTCTTGAACAAGATCCAAACCGGCAACCACAACAAGACTCTTGGGGAATTTGATTCCTTCAAGGCTTATCCCCTTAGGACCAAATGGATTGCACGCTGGATGGTCCCGGTCTTCTCCTTCAGGAAGAAATGCTCTCCAATACCAATCCCGGTCTTGCATTGTGACAAAATATTTCCCATCTAATCGCTTCTCTGATTCAGATCTCTCTTGCCCACCAAACATTGGGTTGAGAAGTATGTTTCCCAACACTTCAATCTCCGAATCTACAGCTCTTAAAGCAACATTGTGAACTATATTACCACCAGAGCTATCTCCAGCCAAGTATATTCGAACTTTTGAATCTTTTTTACTTCGAAGCCATGGCCTTGAATTAACCCACCGAAGAGCAGCCCAACCATCATCATAGGGACAAGGGAAACGGTTTTCAGGCGCTCGACAATAATTCACTGATACCACAACAGCCTTACAAATACCCACTAGGCGGCGACAAAGAATGTCATAAATAGCACTATTCGAAGAGGAGTGTGCAAAGCTTCCACCATGGAAGAAAATTATGACCGGGACAATATCAGACGTCACAGGCTTTTCAAGGTCAAGGATACTAGGCAGACCTTCACCATCAGCTAGCCGATAGACTCGACTGAGGAGGCTAGTTTCACGGTCAATAATGACATCGAAAGAAAACACCCCTTCAACGGGATTGGCATTGGCGGGTACTTTCCGGTCAAGGAACTCTGCCAAATGGCGATTGAAAGTGCCATCTGGGCGACGAAGAAGAGTGTAGGCCAGCTTGAAATTGGAGATGAGGACCCATGTGTTGAGTGGAACCACCATCTATATACGTAAAATAGAAGTGAAAAACTGAGATGCCATAATTCAAAGCTAGAAATAGTAAAATTCTCTAGTCATAGGTAGTACCTAATCAATCATATCAAAAGGCCAAAATTAGGAGCAATAACATGATAACAAGGTCAAAAATGAGTAGACAGACTCAAAATCCTACAAAAGTAACAGAACCCTAAATATGCAGAAACCACTTTCCCAACATAGCATAACAAATTAAAAAAGCAATAAGTAGGTGAACCAGCTATACAGACCATCAACATATCTCAAGAGCTTTAAATCATATATTAAAGTTCCACAACAAACCGCTTCAAGAGAACAAAAACACCAAAAACAGCAAATATTTCTTTAAAGAACAAAATCTCAAACCTAGTAGTAATCAGTCAAAGACCCATATCAAAATCACTTAAAACTTCAAAAAAAAATCTCAAACCTAATACCCAAAAATTTATACAAAGTAGAGATGAAAACAAATATATCAACAAATCCTTAATCTTCATAATAGTCAAAGACCCTTATCGAAATCACTTAAAACTCAAAGAATCAAGACTAGTTCAAGTTAAAACAAAGCCACAAGCTTAAAAACCCAATTCAAAGAAGCAAAAGGTCGAACACATGAGCTTAAATCAACAAAACCACCATCAAACAAATCACTATGTATATAGATATTTACACTACATAGATGAAAGAATAGAAAGTGAAAATTGAAAACAATTTTAATCAAAGAAAAAAATGAATACCTTCGATTCATTGAGGTTGACTTCATTACTACCCGCCATGAAAACAAGAAAAAATTGAATAATCAAAACACTAAACTCTTAAACCCAGCACAGATCTCTTCAGACCTTCACACTTCACAGTAGATCACATTTCCAAACACAAAGAACACCCAAAACTTCTCTCCCTCGTCTCTCTCTCTCTCTGTCTAAGATCGCTGCTCTAACTCATCAAAAGATCAATTTACATCAAACAAAACCCAATCTCTCTCTCTGTCTCTCTAGTGTACAAAAACTCTTGCAATAAGACAGAGGAGAGAGAGAAGCAGGGGGGAGGGGGAGGGGGTGAAGGATAAGGGGAGCGGCGCAGGATAGCGAGAACGTATGGTCAGGGGCTAAAGAACAAGGTGGGGTGAATGAAGACGAGAGAGGCGACAAAGTGAGCGGCCGAAAGGAAATACCTATTTTTAGTTCATTTTTCATGTGGGACCCTCCAACTTAATTTTGTTAATGTTTTCATTTTCGCCCCTTACTTTATTAAATTTTGTTGTTTTGCCCCAGAATATTATATTTTATTTGGAATCAACCAATTAAATTTTTTCTTTTTTTTTGGTTTTTTTTTTTTTGGGTTAGGTAAGGTATTCTCAGCTAGCTTATTTGCATCAGACTAAGTCCTTACAGTCCAAACAAACCTTCCGTAACAAAGCTTACACTCTGCAGTTCATGATCTCAAAATATACATTTACTGACTAGAGAATTTGAACCTAAAATATGAGAGAGAGCAAACTTCTAGACCTTAATCATCACCCATTAGGCCAAACACTTATGGTTCTCAAAGTTTTCTCGTTTTACACCAAGAAAGTATATTTCATTTGCAATTATTATTTATTTTTTAAAATAATAAAATCACAAAAGGGTGGCTCCCAGAGTCTTCTCGTTTTGCACTAAGAAAGTATATTTCATCTACAATTATTATTTATTTTTTAAAATAATAAAATCACAAAAGGGTGGCTCCCAGAGTCTTCTTGTTTTGCACCAAGAAAGTATATTTCATTTGCAATTAGTATTTATATTTTAAAATAATAAAATCACAAAAGGTGGTTCCGAGTCTTCTCGTTTTGCACCAAGAAAGTATATTTCATTTGCAATTATTATTTATTTTTTAAAACAATAAAATCACAAAAGGGAACTCGCAGGTCGGTGGTTCACAGTTTAGAGTATGAATAATTCTAAAAGGACACAATTCAATCATAAAATTATATATAATCTTGTTACATGATGTGTATAGAATTTTATTACAAAATCATATACAACAATTTTACATGATTTTCTTTTATGAGAGTTATATCTAATTTTATAATTGAATTAAAATATTTCTAATAACACAATAATTTTTGTACCATTTTAATATAATATATATATATATATATATATTATATATAAATTTATTATAAGGCCAAATTTAACTATCCTAAATAAGTACACATTTTTATCTTTTTATCTTTTTTTCATCACATCATCTCTCTACTTTTCTGTACATCTTTTTGTAAAAAGACAAAAAGTGCACTTATTTAGGTCATCCCAAATAACTCCTAAGTTAGTAGAGTAATGTGCAATGTTTAGGAAAATTTTACTATGCACACCCCTTACCATATACATCTCTAAGTTATGTTATTTTATTTTTTAGTTATAATTAATTTTCTTCTTTAATTATCATTTTATTTTAATTATAACTTATGAAATCTTTGATTATACATCATGTATTATTTGATTATAATTTTTTTAATTATAACAAAAAAAAATATAAAATTATACCTTTGATGAGTGTGCATGATAATTTTTTTTCAATGTTCGTAAAATAACATATACTTTAACAGTGTACTTTTTCTTTGTTTTTTTATTCATTTAACCATCGACCATTATTCTTTGAGCATAATTTTTTAAATAATACTATAATTCATTAATTTAAGTAAATTTTATAATACAAATAAATGAGTTTTTCATCTTTATCTTTACATCTAATGTATCTTAATTTAATTGTATAAAACTAACTCTCACTCGCTTGATTTATCTTTGTTATAGTCATACTTACTAATAAATTAAACTCTACTTTCTAATAGCCTAAATGTATCTTCCATAATTAAAAAAATGAATTGATCAAACATATAGTAAAAAATTAATAATGCTATTTCATGTATCAAGTTTAGCACATAAAATGTGTTATTTTTGCATAATATATAGACTGAAGTAATTTTTTTTTTTTTTTTTTTTTTTTTGGGCTGATTTGTGTTGTTTTAACATTGTTGCACTTAAATGCTCTATTTACTTGAAATGCTCTTGCAAGTAAGAGTCATCGTCATCCGCCCCCAATGACTCATGCCCAACCTCAGTTCGTACTTCGGGTTCGACCAAAGGCCCCGTTTATTTTTAGAAGTTGGGTCTCGTTTGCGAACAGGTTAATTTAGTAATTTTTTAATTATTTGATTAAAATATGAATTTAAAAAAATTAGTATTTTTAAATGATTTTTAAATATTTTACGAAAAGATGTGTAAAAAGTAGAGAGAAAAGAGAATCTTTGACTTTTTGGTATGGATTGTTGGTTATTTGACTAATTTAATAACTTTTGTAAGAAATAATGTGAAGTAGGTGGAGAGTATGTGGATTTAGTGGGTTAGGTTTAGTGGAGTAGGTTTAAGTGGGTGAAGTAGGTGGAGAGTATGTGGATTTAGTGGGTTAGGTTTAGTGGAGTAGGTTTAAGTGGGTGAAGTAGGTGGAGAGTAGGTGGATTTTAACAACTTTTTAACTCTTTGGCTAAAAATGAGGGTTCCCAAACGAGGCCTAAGATAGAAAAAATTTATAGTGAAAGATTAATAGGAAGGGATTTAAGTAAAATTATATTTATTTTGATAATAGTTGTTAACGTAGGAATTATTAAATTATTTTTATATAAAATAATAAAACAAATACAAAAAAATAAAAAATTAAACATTAATCAGTGTGTTTGGTTTGAGTTTTTTTGATTAAGTTTTTTAAAAACTGAGTTTTTTTATTTTTGTATTCTTTTGTTTTTAGTGAATATTTTTTAAATTTTAAACATTTTTTTTACCTTTTTAGATGCACCTTAGTTAGATGTATCTAAAAAGTAAAAATTTTGTGAAAAAATATTTTAAAAAATTAATAAATACATAAAAATACAAAAAATTTACTGAATTCTTATATTTTTTTTTATATTTTTGGTGTTTAATGAATTTTTAAAAGATTTTTTTTATAATTTTTTTTACTTTTTATGTGTATTTATGTTAGGTGTGTCTAAAAAGTAAAAAAATTGCTTAAAATATTTAAAAAATTCAGTAAAAACAAAAAAAACACGAAAAATAAGAAAGTAGAATTTTCTGAAAAGTGTTTTCTGAAAAATGAAAATAAGCAAGCTGAATACTTTTAAAAAAAGTGTCTAACATGTAAAAAATAAAAAAATTTATAGTCCGGCGGACTATTTTTCTAATACCACCTTCACCTCCTCCATCTCAATCCCCCTTCCAACCTCCATCATAATCCCCTCCTCCATCTCAATTTCTTTCCTAACTCTACAAATAAACATAACATTAAATGAGTCTCACATCCATCCTAATCACATCCCGTTGACTCAATCAGAAAAAATTGATTAAAAAGCTAACACAATTTTCTTTTGTTTGCTCACCCATACCTCCAATTTCACACCAACCCACCAACTAAATCTCCTTCTGAATAGAAGCATTGGAAGCATCAAAATCCTCATCCATCAAAAGATCCTAATGCCCATCTCACTTGATGAAAAACTCAATATCCTCAAAATACTTCACCCAATGCACATCCCCCGCCAACGTGAACAAGAAATCACCAACACCCAAATCGTAATTCTCTTTCTTGCTCAAAATCCACACCCTTTTGCTACCCTTCAGCACCACCAAACCATGCCCAAAAGTGTGGTGATGAGCCGGCTCTACGCTCCCAGCCTTGAACCTCATTATCACTGAGGTTGGTGTCTTTCTCAATATCTTCATCGATCCACCAGGAATTACAATAAGGATACTCTTTACTCACATTCACAACATAATCCCTACCAAAATTCTGAATCTCTCCCACTCCGATTCGCCGATCGTGACGCATGGCGGCGATGGAGAAGGGGAGGAAGAAGAAGTCGGCATCAGAGGGATTGGTGGTGAGGAAGTGGGACTTGGCGAGGGACTTTTTGAATAAGTATTCGCTGGCGTAGTTGCCACCTGGATCGCTGGAGACTGGGAGGAGGACGTTGGCGAATGGGTGGGGTTTGGGGATAGGATAGAGGAAGATCTTGAAGCTTTTGTTCATTTGGCTGTAGGGGAGAGAGAGAGAGGAAGCAGAGAGTGAGAAGAGAGAGACCAAACTTAGTTTTTGAAGATAGTTTTGAAGCCCTTTCGTTTTTTCTAAAATTTGTCTATAATATATGGGTTTGGTGTTGAAGGACCTTAGACATCATAAAAAAAAATATTGTGGATCTCTTCCATTATTAAAAGTGGGAGAGAGACATTAGACTAATTTTCCCTTATATTAATTAATACACAAATAATATATTTATGCTATTATTTATATATAATTTAATATATTATTATATAATTTGAATACAAATAAATGAGTTAAGTTTGACGAGCCGAACTTATTTAAGTTTGAACTCGACTCGCTTATTAAAGGGGTTTAATATTCGAGTTCGAGTTCGACTCAGTTATTAAATGAATCAAGTTCTTAACGAGTCGAGTCAAACCAAACCAAACCAAACCAACTTGTTAATAATTCAATTCATTTACAGCCCTAATCATAGATAATCGATATTGATTACTACTTATAAAATTGAATATGTAAATGTTATTATAGGAAGTTTTATTTAAAGAAAGAAGAATAAGAAAGATCAAAATAAGACATGATTAATACTTGTAATGAGAATTTATTTATGAATATATTATATTGAATGACATAATGAATCAATTGAAATTTTATAATATAACAAAAAATTAAAACAAACAAATAAATAAAACAAAAGAGTATAAAACGGAGGAAGACAAAAGCTACCGTTCGTGCGGCTACGGCCAAGTCACGTGACGACAAACGGAATCCGTTCCGGGCCCACTCTCAATTGCCGAAACTGCCCCTAATTCTTACATTTTGTTTACTAAAATGCCATTCAAATTTAGGTATTTACTTATATGTTTTTTATTTTATTGTTTTTTTCTTTTTCGATTGGAGGTTGGTTTGACTTTTGAGGCTTCCGGTAGGAATTGGGAATGTTGATATGAGCAACTCACTACAGCTTCTTCTTGTGGTGTTTCAGTAGAAGTTTTTGGCCGTGTTTGGTTATATTCTGTAAATAT